GATGAGAGGAGGCCGTGTAGGCAAGACCAGGCCGCTGCCTGCCATAGGACACAGAGAGAGAGCGAGAGAGATGCAGAATGTATGATAGCATGGTGATACAGAATGGGTGGTACAAGACCCAGGACCGTACCTGCAAGACACATGAGAGAGAATGTATGATAGCATGGTATTACAGAATGCGTACAAGGACAGACGCTACCTTCAAGATCAGAGACCGAGCGACGAGTTTGTACTGATAGCATGCGTATACAGAATGGTACAAGACCCAGCACCCTACCCATTGCAACCTGCCAGCGACCACAGAGAGAGAATTGTATTGCATCAGCATGGTATACAGATCGGTACACACGGCCCAGGCCGCTGCCTGCCACGACAAACAGAGAGAGTAATGTCATCGATTAGCATGGTATACCAGAATGGTACAGAGGCCCAGGCCGCTGCCTGCCAAGAACACACAAGAGAGAATGTATGATTGCACTGGTATACAGAAATGGTACAAGCCCAGACCGATACCTGCAAGATACGAGAGAGAGAGATTGTTATTGATAGCATGGTATACAGGAATTGGAACAAGGACGCCAGACGCCGCCTCCTGCAAGACACACAGAGAGAGAATGTATGAGTTGCATGGTATACAGAAATGGTACAAGACCCAGGGGGGGGGGGGATACCGCTACCTGCAAAGGATACAGAGAGGAGAATGTATGATAGCATGGTTATACAGAATGGTTACAAGACCCAGACCGCTAACTGCAAGCGTTACAGAGAGAGGAATGATATGATTGCGATGGTATGACGCAGAATGGTACAACGACCCAGACGCTACCTGCAACTGCAGACACCAGAGAGAGATGTATTTGGATTAGCATGGTATACAGAATGGTACAAGGCCAGGCCGCTGCCTGCAAGACAAAACAGAGAAGAGAATGTATGATAGCATGGTATACAGAATGGTACAAGCCAGGCGCTGCCTGCAGACAAACAGACGAGAGAATGTATGATACGCGATTGGTTTTACAGAATGGTACAAGGCCCAGGGCCGCCTGCGCAAGACACACAGAGGAGAATGGTCATGATAGCATGTATACAGAATGCGTACAAGGCCCAGGCCTGCTCCTGCAAGACACACAGACGGAGGAATGTATGAAAAAATAAGGCTGAATATACAGAATAGTACAACCCAGACGCTACCCTGCAAGATACAGAAAAGAGGAATGTTACTGATAGCATGGTATACCAGAATGGTCACAGACCCGACCCGCTACGCTGCCATAGACACAGAGAGAGAATGTATGATAGCATGGTATACAGAATGGTACAAGACCCAGACCGCTACCTGCAAGATACAGAGAGAGATGTATGATAGCATGTATACAGAATGGTACAAGACCCAGACCGCTAAACTGCAAGGTATCAGAGCAGACGAATGTAATGATACGCATGGTATACAGAATGGTACGAAGACCCAGCACCGCTACCTGGAAGACACAGAGAGAGAAGAGAGATTGTATGATAGCATGCGCTATACAGAATGGATACAAGACAACCTTGACCGTACCTGCAAGTGCAAGGACAGAGAGAGAGAGAGAGAGAGAGAGAGAGATGTTATGCGATTAGCATGGTATACGAAATTGGTTACAAGACCGCAGACGTACCTGCAAAACAGAGATGAGAGCGATTGATATGTTAGCATGGTTACAGGCCTCATACAGAAATGGTACAGGCCCATACCTCTGCTGCCCAAGGACAGCAGGAGAAGAGCGATTGTTGCCCTAGTGTGATATTAAGAATAGTACAAGATCCGGACAATGAGAGAGAAGAGAGAGAGAGAGAGAGAGGAGGGCCGTGAGACTCGAGAGAGAGAGAGAGGATGTAGCAGAGAAATAATGTGAAACATAGAATTGTGGATCATTTGTTAAACGGTTCTGTTTATTCTATACATATTACAATACATATACATATATATACATATACATATAATATTACATTATACATATACATATACATATACATATACATTATACATATAATATACATATACATAATGATATACATATAATAATAGTTTCACATTTGACAGTAAGTCTGTGACATCAAGTTTAGATGTGTCGATGCAGCGTATATACGTACCTGTCACAAGACCGTAGGTGAATAGAGAACGTAGACACTGGTAGCGAAGTTAACTAAGGATGCATCCCGTGGCAGCGACCAACCCTCACCTATGATCACCGGTCTAATGCCATACTGCCTCGCTAGTACACTAGCAACGGAGCTGCAAATACACGGGGATTAAAATTTATAGAGATCCAGTCAAACATTGCTTCAGGAGACACCTCGATAGAATGGTGCTGCAGTGTGTGCGTGCGTGCGTGCGTGCGTGTGTGTTGCGTGCTACGTGCTTGTTCTGCTGTGCTTGCTGGGTGTTGTGCGTGCTGTCGCGTTGCGTGCGTGTGTGGTGTACGTCGTGTCTGCGAATCATGTGTGTCGTGCATTGTGTATAGACATTTCTGTTATATGCGTAAAGGACACTGGTGTTTCCTTTGAATAGCCCTCATGCACAGATTTAATAAGATTTACAGATATTCCTTCCCTGCGCTCAGAGGTTGTGGTCCTTCTGACATTGATAATATTCCTGGGTAGTCCCCACAGACTATTATATATATATATATACAATATTATATATATTATAATATATATATATATAATATCTATTATATATATATATAATATCGCTCTGACAGCTGCAAGCAGGAAACGTCTGTAGGCCATCTCTACAGAGAATAGGCATGCAGGAAAGTGGAATTGATAGATTGGATAGACATGTTTATCTGTCTTAGTTATACTTATCAAATACGTGTGTGCTAAAGCGAGGCGAGAGCGATGAGAGGAGAGTGAGAGTGAGTGAGAGAGAGTGAGAGTGAGAAAGAGAGCGAGACAGCGAGAGAGAGCGAGAGAGAGGGAGAGACAGAGAACATGCGTGAATTAATGTTCTAGATCTATGATATATATTATAGACAACCTGCAGGAACAGCGTGTATTGATCGGGTAATGGCATCTTGCAATAGATACGGGTGCATGTACGTAACCCTACAAATAACTAGCGGGAAAAAAAAAAACCTGTTTGTAGGGTGGGGTTGTCGTTTTATCTGAGACACGTGCATTTGAAGTTTGAACCCTTTACACAGCTGGTGCCACTGTCTGGGTACATACAGGAACATGCGCAGGCAGGCGCACACACGCAAGCGCCGACACACGCGTGCATGCACGCACACACGCGCACACGTGCACGCACACACGCGTACACGTGCACGCACACACGCGTACACGTGCACGCACACACACGTACACACACGTACATAAGCACGCGCACGTACACATGCACGCATACGCACGTACACACACGTACATAAGCACGCGCACGTACATAAGCGCACATGTGCACACGTGATCACATATGCACGCAGACACGTACACATGCACGCACACACACACGTACACACGCACGCACACGCTCACCCGCGCGCACATACGCACGCATGCACGCATATACACGCCTGCTATGCCCTATGCTGCGAGCATGGCGTGTGATGTACAGTGTGAGTAGATCGGGCTATATGTATCATGTGCCGTGTATGTACCGACGTGCACGAGAAAACGTTGATCGAGCCATATATATGCGCATATATAACATATGTACATATTATATATATATGCACATGTTATATTCGAGCACATTCGTTATTAGGAGTGTATACCTATAGCCAGGCCACCGACAGACACATTGATAATAATCAAGAGTAGATAATAACACAGAGAGAGAGAGGGTGGAGATCGAGAGAGAGAGAGAAAGAGAAAGAGAGAGAGAGAGAGAGAGAGAGAGAGACGGAGACAGCGAAAGAGAGAGCGCTACGTATATATGCACACGTACTATACCTTACCGATCAGGAATTTACTTCCCAGGTGTATGGACCCAATCCAGGCAGTCACTCCTTTCGACTGTTTGAAATAGTCGAGGAATTCAACGTAGAAAACCGCAAAGGACATGCAGATACCGAATGTGACAAAGTTAGCACTGAAGGAGGCAACGAGGACGACCCATGCCCAGCCTCTGTCAATGTTGTCGCCTCTCTTTCGACCCTCCATAATGGCGACAGTGTCGTTGTAATATCCACACACGACTTTACGATGTTCAGCATTTACTGCTTTACACTCATGGCCGGCCTAATTCGCTCCCAGCTGTTGTTGCTGCGTGTCCGTGCATGTGTGTGTGCTGCTAGCCATAGCTACTGCGACACTGCCTCTTTGTTCATATCTGGCAGCGAGGGATGTCATTATTGACAGCATGGGTGCGTTGCGCCTGCCTGCCTGCCTGCCTGCCTGCCTGCCTTGTTGCCTGCGTGCCTGCCTTACTAACCCGGCCTTGCCCCCTCTCTCCCTCCGGTTATATAGGCTCCGAGTCTCAGAATCTAGGCAGCGAGGACGTAGCATGACTCGCATATATCATGTGCTAACAGTGTTTGCGTACTCTCCCTCTATCTATAGTTCGTCTGCCCCTCTGCTTATCTCCCCCGCTCACTATCTATCTATCTATCTATATCTATCTATCTATCTATCTATCTATCTATCTCTATCTATCTATCTATCTATCTATCTGTCCGTCCGTCCGTCCGGCCGTCCGTCCGTCCGTCCGTCTGTCTATCTATATATCTATCTATCTATCTATATATCTATCTATCTATCTATCTATCTATCTATCTATCTATCTATCTATCTGTCTGTCTGTCTGTCTGTCTGTCTGTCTGTCTGTCTGTCTGTCTGTCTGTCTGTCTGTCTGTCTGTTTGTCTGTCTGTATCTCTCTTGCTCGATCTCTCCCCACTCTCTTTCTCTCTCTTTCTCTCTCTCTCTGTCTGTCCGTCTCTCTCTCTCTCTCTCTCTCTCTCTCTCTCTTTCTTTCTCTCTCTCTCTCTCTCTCTCTCTCTCTCTCTCTCTCTCTCTCTCTCTCTCTCTCTCTCTCTCTCTCTCTCTCTCTCTCTCTCTCTCTCTCTCTCTCTCTCTCTCTCTCTCTCGCTCTCTCTCTTTCTTTCTCTCTCGCTCTCTCTCACTGTGTATGGCATGTATTATTAGGAGTCACCAAATACTGCAAAGTCCTCGTACCAGTCCAAAGGACTGTAATGTACTCCAGAGTACAACGACCGACGCAGCCGGTACCCATGCAGTCAGGAAGGATAGATATGATCAGAAGTAGATAACAGGGATTCCCTATTATCTACTTCTGATATGATATATATCATTACAACCATGGATATCATATACCTTGGTGTGCCTATATACACCTTTACGTGTGTAGATAATTATGATATCTATGATTACAACAGACTAGCAGAGATACCTGACGCTGCACGGATAAAAATTGAAAACATGGTAGGACGCAATATAGAATGTGAAATGCCCCCCCACACCCCACCGGCTACTTTTTTTTTAGCTCACCTTGACATCGTCAAGCTGAGCTATTGCCATGGGTCGTCGTCCGTCGTACGTCCGTCCGTCCGTCCGTCTTTCCGTCAACATTTGGCTACGGTAAACGATAACTCAGGAACCGTTTGACCCACATGTTTGAAATTGGGTATAGTTGTTACTGCTATGCTCCCATATTGATCGACGTACTTTCGAGCCACGGCAATTTTTTGGCAAAAATGGGAATTGCCATTAGTCAGTTCAGGTTCAACAGATTTTGCTTATTTTTGGTATGTGAATGAATAAGGGCTAGTGGTTTTGATGTTTAAAAAAAAGAAAAGCAAATTGGGTAGGTTTCGGCAATTATATAGCATATTATATAGACACGCAGATAACAAACAGTCTGTGGTGTCACACTCGTCTGGTTCGTTTTACAAGATTTCATTGACAATATCTTTAATGCAAAATTGGTATTTCCTCTCCACCCTGCTGATAAAACGTCTATATTAGAGTAAAGTTTTACAAAATATGTCGGAACGCAGCATAACCTATTTATTTCGAACGCCATCGCTAAGAAACATCAAATCGGGTATAGCGTCATCTACCGTCACAAATTGTGATTTATTTTGGTCTATAAATTATTATTGCGATATACAGATGGCAACCGTGTGCTACCGCCTAGAAAACCTCATACGAAGTAAACACTTCCATGCAACCAATTAACCTTTGACAAAAGTTGTGTTATAGGCAGGGAAACACCGTTGTCACGTGGTATATAGCAGCTACGTGGAATAAGCGTATCCTCTCAATCTTACACGTTACACATCGGGAGCTCCACTTTTCGGCAGTGCCTAAATCGGAATATTATAAAAACGTTAAATGGCGATCATTTAGGTGTAACGCCATCACTCGCCCACATCTCAGACTTTCACATTTCAAACATTTATTTTCACATACAAAATTACACATAATTATCAAAAGTATATAATGGGAGTTCTCCCATATACACTCTTCGTTTCTATAATGTACGTCGATGGTTTACTCAATTAAAACTGACTTCTTCTCACTCACTCATTTGTGTCCTTTTTTGTGGTGAGCTACAGTGTCATTGACACTTTCATTTACGCTTCCTCCTCCTCTTTCTGCCTTCCTGGCCACTATCCTCCTCAATTCTGCCTGTTTTCCACCACCACCTCCTCTTGCTCCGCCTGCACTACTTCCCCCACCACTCTCTCCTTTCGTTCATCTTACCGCTCATTCCTTTCTTCGTTCTGGTTATCTCCTGTCACGTGGCCAAATTGGTCTGGGCTGACCTCAAGTGACATTGAAGGTCACCTTTAACCCAATCCTACCTCCTGACCAGAGACCACGCGAATGTCCGTGCGAAAAAATCTCTCTGTGTCTCTCCTATTGAACGCGAGTGGAGGAAATGCCACACACGCAGGGAAACTTCACTATATTTGTACAGATGTAGACGTCTCTGCAGATGTAGATAGGGCCTACACGTGATAACATATATAGGTGAACGGCAACAATGTATAAATAATTCAGCTGTAAGTCAACATAAAGATTAAAAAACAACAGAAATAGAAAATAATGAACGAAAACCATGGCCATACGTTGGCATTTGACATGTAATGTTTTTTTTACTTATTTTTTCCAATTGTGCTTGCAGGAAAGAGATGGTGGTGAATCTGTCAGTGAGATGTCATGATAGATATTTGTGTGAGAAAAAAGCAAAGCAACAGGCAAGTTTACAGATTACAGATTTTAGTTTACAGATACAAATCTCCACACTGAGAATTAACCACGTAATGCAATATAATAGAAAACCGTACTGATATCCTAATTACAACATATCGATTAATATAGAGAGATAGGGAGATAGAGGGGGGAAAGAGAGAGAGAGAGAGAGAGAGAGAGAGAGAGAGAGAGAGAGAGAGAGAGAGAGAGATTGAGAGAAAGTAAGAGAGAGGGCGCGCGCGAATGAGAAAGAACGCGAAAGAGGCAGAACATAACGAAAGAGAGTGGGAGATAGAGAGGGGGAACTGCATGCGTACGGTTCCTTGCCGATTGGAAATAGAAAACGAGAGAGAAAGAGGTGGGAAGAGAGAAAGAGAAAGAGAGTGAGAGAGAGAGCGAGGGAAAGGTGGGGGGAGAGAGAGAGAGAGAGAGAGAGAGAGAGAGAGAGACGAGAGAGAGAGAGAGAGAGACGAGAGACGAGAGAGAGAGAGACGAGAGAGAGAGAGAGAAGAGAGAGAGAGAGAGAGGCGGGCGAGAGAGAGAGAGAGAGAGAGAGAAGCGAGGAGAGAGCGAAGAGAGAGAGAGAGAGAGAGAGAGTATTTTTTGTGGTGGAATGACGTGTGGCTGAGAGTTTCTGGTTTTCAAGCAATTATGTCGTACACTATGGAAGCAACATTACTAGAAGAATAAGCGCTATTGTACATGACAGGCCTCGTAGCTTCCGACGCCATTCTAAGAAGGTGGTAAGGAAAATACGCTCCGGCGGATTTCCAGAAGAGGCCTTTCAGCGGCAAGATTTAATTTGATTATTATCGGTGCTATTCTATGCTGAGAGTAAAGGACGTCGGTGAAGCCCGTTCATATCTATTGCGCAATAAATTACGCGGCTGGAATCCTATCAGAAAAATCTGCTTAGCAGGAGTGAAGTAACCCTGCACAGCGTGCGACGGTGCAATTGGTAAACGAAAACCCGTACGCGACTTTCAGCTGGGCGTGGACGGCGATGGTGGGCTGAGGCACATGCAGGCGATCAAGCGAATTGCTATTTTAATTGGGTTTCCGGTTGCGTATCGGAGAGTTGGCAGGGGAAGGCGGCGCGCTGCTGTGGCTTTTCACGGGTCTCCACGCGGCAAACGAGGCAAAATGTTGGGGACCGTATTGTAAACCCACGTGACGGCCAAATAAGGTAATGGGCGGCAGGTAATGTGATTAAAACGGGGGACGTGAGAGACGAGGAAGAAAGAAAGAAAGAGAGTGTGGAGAGAGAGAGAGAGATGTAGAGAGAACGCACGTGAGAGAGAGACGGTGATGAGATAGCGAGAGTATGTGTGTGTGTGTGCGTGCGTGCGTGCGTGCGTGCGTGTGTGTGTGTGTGTGTGTGTGTGCGGGTGTGTGTGTGCAAGAGATAGCCAGGGTGTGTGAGAGAGAAAGAGCCAGGGGGTGTGTATGTGTGTGTGTGTGTGTGTGTGCGTGAGAGAGAGAGAGAGAGAGAGAGAGAGAGAGAGAGAGAAGTTGAGAGCGCACAAGTAAGCACGAGGAAGAAAGAGACACATAGGATAAGTAAGAAGTTAGGGGAGAGAGATGAGACGGGCGTAAACAGACATAGGAAGAAAAACCAAGAAAGAACACCACAAATATAGAAGGAGAAGAGAGATGGGAAGGAGACAGATTTCCTCCTGCACACACAACGGGAATAGAGCACGCACTTGCTCGTTAAGTTAATGTGCATTTAACCTGAACTGAGGATTACCGGACGCTATTATTCTGCAGTCAATGCCACCTCCACATGACTAACCTGAATCTACTGGCTATAGCCTCCGCATAGATCGCATCTATATATAATAGTATCCATGGAGTAGATAGAATCACGAGTCCGAATAGAACATAGAATAAATAAAGTAGCGAAAAAATAAATGGTCTATTTTCTATTATGGACTCTTGATAGAATCAAGAGCGTAGAAAAAAGGAGAGCGTACAACGGTGAAATGCTGAAAACATGTTGCAGTATTAGTCGAATTAATAAACTTTCCCCGTTTTATTTTGACGATTCTTTGCAGTATTATTGATCAGCTATCTTACCTTGTTAATATAAAACAAACCGCATGTTCCTACGACTACGAGCAGGTACCTCGAGTCGGTTTTCGGCGAAAATACCAGATTTTCACCGCTCATTATCTCAGCGTAGGGGCATCGTAGGGACATGCGGTTTGTTTCATATTAACAAGGTAGGACAGCTGATCAATGATAGTGCAAAGAATCGTCAAAATAACACGGGGAAGTTTATTAATTCGACTAATACTGCAACATGGTTTCAGCATTTCACCGTTGTACGCTTTCCTTCTTTATACGCTCTTGATAGAATGCAATAGCTAGGACTCTGAAGAATCGAATATATAATAGATATGTAGATGATTCACTATGTCCGATGTGATTTCCGGTGGCAGTAAATCCTAGGAGATACGTAACCTCCGGTACAGGTCCTGCAGCGCAAATAAAACACGCGCAAAAATACGATGCATACATAATTGGACAAAAAAACATTGCACACACACGCATCTACACGCACGCACGCACGCGCGCACACACACACACACACGCGCACACAAACACACATCAATACAAATACCAATATATCAATATCAATATACATATATGCGTGCGTGCGTGTGTCCGTGCGTGAGCGTGCGTGTGTCCGTGCGTGAGCGTGCGTGTGTGTATGCGTCTCTGCGTGCGTGTGTGCATGTGCGTGCGTGCGTGCGTGATTGTACATGCGTGCGTGCGTGCGTGCGTGTGTGTGTGTGCGTGTGTGCGTGCGCGCATACCTAATAGCTATATTACGGCACAGAATTGCCGCAGTGCCGCAGACAGAGCTATGCACGCATGCGCGGGTAGCGCGCGGATACCCCCCCCCCCGCTCCGCTCCGTCGTTCACATGCGCCGAGCCATCCGTCATACGATCAATAATTCCCTGCAAGTCCCGGCAAACCCTCGACTGAAGCTCAACGTTCGTCATTGTAGGCATGCGCAGTGTCGCATCTATAAGAATAGGAGCTGACGTCAACGTAAGGCACATCCAGAGGCAATCGGGAGGCTGTATATACACACACACACACACACACACACACACACACACAGAGGCAGACAGACAGAGAAAGAGAGCGAGAGAGGAGGACAGAGCACGCCTCTTGGATCGCCGCTGTAAATTATTGGTGAGTCTAAGATCTTTCTAATCATTCATTCTCTCCTCTTCGTTGCTACCGGTGACCATGCACATACGGTTTGTCTGTAATTTCAAAATCGATCACACGTTCGGTTTTTGTGTGTGATTTATTGAAATGTAACGCGCGGATATATATATATATATATACAGATAGACAGATAGATAGATAGATAGATAGACAGATATATAGATAGGTAGATAGACAGATAGACAGATAGATAGATAGATAGATATAGATAGATAGAGAATGGAGGCATTTCTGGACGGACGATATATATATATAGACTAGATATATAGATAGACTATATATAGATAGTATATTAGAATGCGGCGAAACCCTCGCGTTATCACAATCCCTTATATATCACAGATATTAGCGATTTATTACGAATTCCCCACGGGCGTCTCGTAAATAGAGAATATTGTATATCATCAGTATGTTGGGTATGTTATAATCATCAGTACCATAGCTGTGTACACGCGAGCGACCAGCGCTGGATAATTTTAATACTGAAGCCGTATTTTGTCATGTGTATAGCGGCAGAATGGGTGCATGGTGTTGCTTTCCCGCAGTGCGTGGGATATAAGTGTATGCAATAACGTGGGTATGTGTGTGCGGAGAATTCCAGCAGTAATCTGATGTCTCAGTTATCGTCAGGTTACATAAATGGAACATCGGCCAGAAGCATCCTGTAAACAACTTCTCATGTAAGGCGTAGAAGCGCATCTGCGTGGATTTATATTCCGTGTATGTAGTTTAGTGTATAAAAAACATGTTTACTGCGCATGAATTCTTTTCTATCATGAATGAGATGCGAATGTGATTTGTGCATGCGTGTGTGTGCGTGCGTGCTTGCATGTTCGTGCGCGAGCGTGCGCGTGTGCGTGCGCGCTTGCGTGCGCGCTTGCGTGTTCGTGCGCGTGCTTGCGTGTGCGTGCGTGCTTGCGTGTTCGTGCGCGAGCGTGCGTGCGTGTGTGCGTGCGTGCGTGTGTGCGTGCGTGCGTTTGTGCGTGCGTGCGTGATTGCGTGTTCGTGCTTGCGTGTGCGTGCGAGCGTTTACGCGTGACGAGTATCGTTGATTTAACTGCAGCGTGGCGTAAATTCTATGTAATCATGCATCAATGTAATAGATATAGGTTCTGTCATTGAGCAGCTAGTGGTGAACTGCTTATTCACCGCTCTGTTACTCCTCTAACCTTGCTGTTAGACTGCGAGTGCAATATGATAATTACTAAGTGAATAAATAATTAGGTGAATGGTACGTCCTTCTAGATGGATGCACACACACGCACACACACACACACACACACACACACACACACACACACACACACACACACACACACACACACACACACACACACACACCTGAGAGAGATGTGTGTAGCATGAGACTAACGACCCTAGTATTAGATTGGACCGTGAGTGGGATATGATAACTACTAAGTGAATGGAAATAATTAGGTAAATGGTACATCCTTCAAGATGCATGTATGCACAATGCATGTGTGCATGTGTGCATGCCTGCGTGCGTGCGTGCGTGCGTGCGTGCTTGCGTGCCTGTGTGCATGCCTGCGTGCGTGCGTGCGTGCCTGCGTGCGCGTGTACGTACCTGCTACGGGCGGACCCAGCAGCGCCGTGGCACCGACCGTGCGTTCGTGCGTGCGTGCGTGCGTGCGTGTGTGCGTGCGTGCGCGTGTGCGTGCCTGCTACCAGCGGACCCAGCAGCGCCCCGGCACCGACCATGCGTGCGTGCGTGCGTGCGTGCGTGCGGGCGTGCGCGTGTACGTACCTGCTACGGGCGGTCCCAGCAGCGCCCCGGCACCGACCGCGAACATGCCGTATCCGTACGCGCTCGCCAGCATCTCGATTCCGAACAGCTTCACCGTCACCGTGGCGAGGAACGCCAGCTTCGTCCCGTAAGCGAATCCCATCACGAGCGCCAGCGCGACGAACGACGTGAACGAGGAACCGGTGAGGTAGAGCGTCGCCGCGACGCCGTGCGCCGCCGTCAACACGTTGTACGCAACCAGGCAGTCGACGCGGCGATCGTTGCCTAACAACGCCGTCGTGAGGCGGCCGGCGGCGTTGGCGACGCCAACGACGGAGAGGAGGAGGGCGCTGCTGTCTCGCGAGATGCCGCGAGACACCGTGAACTCGTTGACGATGACGAAGAAGGTGAACGCTCCCGCCGCCCAGCAGAAGTAGTCGCAGAGGTAGAGCGCGAACTTGGCGCTACGCAGCAGCCGCGTCTGCAGCAGCGCCGCGATCCCGCCGCCCGCCGCCGCCGCGCCGGGGACCGCCGGCAGGGGGCGCTGCAGCGCGCCGACGACGCACAGCTGGAGGGAGATGGCGGCGGTGAGCAGCATTGTTCCTCGCCATCCGTACGCGTCGATGATGGCTTGGAAGAGGATCGGACAGAGCAGCGGCCCGACAGCGCCCCCTACGAAGGTGAGCGCGGTGGCTAGCGTGCGCCGCTGCTCGAAGTATAGACTCACGGCGATGACGGAGGGCGTGTAGGCAAGACCCAGACCGCTACCTGCAAGACACAGAGAGAGAATGTATGATAGCATGGTATACAGAATGGTACAAGACCCAGACCGCTACCTGCAAGATTATATAGTCATATTAGCTGCGAGTTCAATTATGTAGGGTTGAGTGGCTCTATATACTCAGCGTGGGCCTGCTTCGTGTATAAGCTCACGGAAGCCACCCGCCTAATACCGCCGCTTAATTACCGAAATAAGAAAATCACATATTCGTCGCTTTAATGATTCGCCTTCTACCTGAACCAACGTCACCATTCACGATCGACGCACGTGATTGGCTGGTGCTATAGTGAAAGCATCGAGGCTAGTGGAAGTCGATTCACGGCTGGTTGCCGTCGCTTTCTCCCCGCTAGTCTGCGAGGAAAATGGTGGTCGCTGTTTGCGACGCGAATTGCTCCACTTTTGTCAATATGTGCGCTACTGGGTAATTACAGAGAGTTAATACCTCACCGAGGCACGCCGAGTGAAAAATTCAAATATGTATAAAGAACGAGACAAACACGACTTTGCAATTAGCAGCGAGTGGTAATTTATTTGCCGAAATGTGCCGTTTGACGTTTTTGTTCAAGGTTAGAATGAACGGCTTTTAACTGCGCGACTGTTAAAAGCAAAATTGTGTTCTTTATTATTGTAGAGTGGCGCTAAAGTAGAATACGTGCAGTGCCCGTGTAGGCGCACTTAAAGGTAATACACGGCCTATATAGCTAGGAATACGTCTGTGCTATAAGTGATATAGCGTGCGTGTGTGCGAGAGTGCGTGCGTGTGTGCGTTCGTGTGTGCATGTGTGCGTGCGCGCGTGTGGGTGCAAGCGTGCGAGCGTGCGTGCGTGTGCGTGTTTATGCGTGTGTGCGTGCGCGTGTGCGTGTGCGTGTTTATGCGTGTGTGCGTGCGCGCGCGCGTGTGTGTGTGTGTGTGTGTGTGCATGTGTGTGTTCGTGCGTCCGAGCGTGTATATGGTTGGGAATTCGCTTTATTATTCGTCGATGTAAATTGTATTATTAAATATCAATGTGATTTTCACAAATCTCTACATACAGTGCATGCCAATATTAGTCCCATGTTCGGACTCGAAAGTTGGATTTTGCACGATAACAACCTCTGTTTGGATTGCAGCTACATTTCCCCGTAAAAGACCAGTAGCGAATCAATCATGCTCGATAAACACAGACAGACATTTGATTCAACACCTTTGCTATCCAAACTAACACAGCGTTCCCGTAGACTCACACTACGTAAGGCATCGTTGCTTTGTGAGTGAAGCCACTGAGACGTTTGGAGACAGTCTAGTCTCCGTGAATGTTATTTGCTGCCGAAATTGCTTCGTACAAAGAGCCTGGCATGAAATAATGGAAAACTATTGTATATATATATATGGACTGTATAAATACGTGTGCGCGCGTGTGTCCCTCTATGTGTGCGCATGTGTGTGCGCGTGCGTGTGTGTGTGTGTAAGCGTCGTTGTTTGGAAGCACGGTATACACAAGGCAGTACTATGATTACACTTCGGACGCTAAACGTTCATTCTTCCCAACTCGTTACATACATGTCTGTGACCGCGATTTCATCACATCATTGAATGGCAAGAGGTTAAAAACATGCCGAGTGCACGGGTAGAGTTAACGCTTACACGACATATCACACACGCGTGGTTTAGAATGTAGGTGATAATGACGCCTACGTTTTAATAACACATCAGCCAGATACACAGAGCCATAATATATCGCCACTGAAATTTATACCTAACAAATCGATAAATTGCTTTTCATAACTATCTCACCTGCTCGAATCTCACCTGCTTGAAACTCATCGTCATAATCATCTACGTTTTCATTTCTAACCCCCGCGCTCACCGTAAGAATACATGCGCTCGCATTTTGCTGAAATTTACGGCGCATTCGATAAACAACAATAAGACTAAAGTATAACTAACAATATAGAATGAATTCGTAATGAGAGAATCGGCGGAGTTGCAGCGCAGTTGCGTTCACTCATAGATGAACCTACACGTCAGGCGTTATGCTCACGTTTCTAATGACTCTCTACAACGACGGAGATTTCAGCCGAACAAAGCGAAAGAAATAATATCGCGTTGCTTTGCGATTTGAATTGTTGCAAAAACACAATATTATTGCAGTAATGATGAATGGGATGACGTCAAGCGAAGTGTATAGAGATACAGGTGCCTTTGAAGTAGCAAGCGTCTTGCCACCATCGTTCTTATATTCATCGACATAATCATTATAATCATCATCATCGTCACCGTCATCGTTTTCGTCGTCATCATCATCATCATCGTCGTCGTCGTCATCATCGCCAGTCTCCTCTTCTTAATCCTCCTCCTCTTGCTCCTCTTCCTATTCCTCTTCTTCCCCCTCATTCTTTTCATCATCACCATCATCATCATCATCATCATCATCGTCATAATAATAATAGTAATAATAATAATAATAATAATAATAATAAAAATAATAATAATAATCGCAATAATAGCAATCTAGCGGGTATGCGCAGCGTACATGCCTATGGCGGAATTCATGCATCCATTAATGACTAGCGCGTTAGAAGAATGAACAATGCTCGCGCACTCGATCCTTTGCCATGTCTAGATACTTGTAATGGAATTTTGGAAGCCCTGCCTGCAGGGGAGGGGAGGGGGGCAAGGGGTCAGTACCCGTAACAACAAAATGAAAGCACTCATGAGCCTAAAACAAATGTGATAAATAACGTAATGGAATGCATTCGTCCTTGCGCGCGTCGCGCCTCTGGGTGTTTCTCCCGACACTTCTTGTTGCAAACGTGTTAGCTTGTCATTGTTCAGTTGTGTCACGAGATTTTGCCTCCTAGGGAATTTGCCGAAGTTACTGTCGTATCTGTCTGGCCAGCTTTTCACGTTGTGGTTTGTAAGGAGTGATTAGATGATATTGTGAGCATCTTGTTACCTTTCACGTTGCTGCTTGTTCCGCTAGTTGTTGTTGTTTGTTTGTTTGTTTGTTTGTTTGTGCCGATCTCCTCGGCATGCCCTCAGCCGCCAACGGTCCAGCTCACACGCAGTACACGTGCCGTTGTTGTCTTGTTGTTGTTGTCATATTTGTTTGTTTGTTTGTTTGTTGTGCCGATATTCTCCGCATGCCATCAGCAGCGCACAGCTCACGCGCAGTACACGTGCCGTGGCTGTCTTGTTGCTGCGTGGCTTGACGTGAGATCATCGTTAGCATCAATAAGATATGCGAGAGGCAGCATAATTAGCCATATACACGCTAATCATCATAATGAATAATTAACTCTCGTAGGTATTCGTCGTTATGATGTAATCAATCCAATCGCTTCCTCCTGCTCTCTTTCCTCCCTCTCTCTCTTTCTCTCTGCCCTCTGTTTCTCGTGTTGAACAAAGACCCACTCTCTCGGTCGATGTTGGAGCATTTATCTGCCCACCTGCTACAACAATGGCTGACAGAATAGCAGGAGACGGGAGCAGATAATCGAATTACTCGTAACTCCGCAGAGCGCATCGATGCGCACCGCCAGCAGATGAATAACCTGCTGTGGTCTACCTCCAGTGACATTACCATCTCTGTGCTTTTGTTCCCAGCTATCGTCATCACTGCTCATGGCAAGAGAGCGAGCGATAGATATAGGTAGAGTGGGAGGGAGAGAGAGAGAGAGAGGGAGAGAGGGAGAGAGCATGAGGAGGGAGTGAGAGACAGTTACCGAGCAAGCGAGAGAAAGATAGAGAGAGAGAGAGAGAGAGAGAGAGAGAGAGAGAGTGCGAGAGAACAAGAGAAAGGGAGAGAGAGAGAGAGAGCCCGGGAGGGAGAGATAGAGTGAGAAAAGAGAGAGAGAGATGGGGGGGGGAGAAAAAGAGAGAGGGAGAGGGTTAGGGTGAGAAGGGAGAGAGAGGGAAGAGAGAGAGAGTGGGGAGACAGGGAGGGAGAAAGAGAAGGCAGAAAAGGGAATTATGAAATAATCGATATGATACTACGCCGTGCCAAGCACTGACTTCACTACTCTCGCCCGCCTCCAAGACACAGACAGTACAAGACATAGGCAATCCCATAGCCCCTCTCTCACACACGCGTGCGTGCGTGTCTGTGTTGCTCTTAGATCTAGTTTGAGTTTGATGTGAGTGTGCCTACTCTGTGTTAGTTGCTGGTTAGTGCTGACAGACGAGCGAACGATGGGATGCGAATCTATTAACTTTGACTAGTATTGGTGCGTGTACATCAAGAGTCCATAATAGAAAATACTCATAGTAATAGAGTTCTATTATGGACTCTTGATGTACATCCATTAGGATGACCGTATTCTTCGGGATATTCTGATAAAGGCTTGGCAAGGCTTCTTGGTAAAGCATTATCATCATCGTCATTGTCGTCGGCGTCATCGTCTTCGTCGACATTGCCGTTGTTGTTGTTGCTATTGTTATTATTATTATTATTATTATTGTTGTTGTTGTTGTTGTAACGTTGATTTGCCACCACAAGTCCCCAGGCACCCGTCATCTTTGTATATTTCATCGTTGCAAGTTGTAATCTTAGTCGTTTTAATCTTCACCGTTTTAATTTTTACCGATGTAATTTTGTCGATGTAAATATGCTCGTTGTAATTTTCATGTTTGTATATTATGTTTAGTATATATAACATTTATAAGTTCTCTGAGAGTCCTGATTCCCGCGGTAAATATCGTTAGTTCACGCTTCCAATCACCATCAGTTTCGCTAGTGTTGACGTGTATCCACGATGTAAGATATACGATATGTCTCTATGGTCTTTAGTCGGTGTTCGTCTGTGATCTACTATGTATATGTGTATGTACGTGCACACGATGTGCTTCGTGATGCGCCTCTGTGGTTTCATGGTCTCTAGTCGGTGTTCGTCTGTGATCTACTATGACAGTATATGTATATGCGTATGTACGTACACACGATGTATGCTTCGTGATGCGCCTCTGTGGTTTCATGGTCTCTAGTCGGTGTTCGTCTGTGATCTACTATGTATATGTGTATGTATACGTGCCCACAATGCAAGCTTTGCGATGCGCCTCTGTGGTTTCATGGTCTCTA